GTACTTTCGTAGAGAAAAACAACACAACCAAATATATTCTCATTTCTACATCTATATAAAACTAAAACTACCACTTCATCCTAACATATTCTCAATTTCTACACAAAAACCAATTCATCTATCTTTTTCATAAAAAAATTTGAAAACTAGAAAATCTCATTAGATAGATAACCAAACATCCCATATATATATATATATATATATATATATATATATATATATATATATATATATATATATATATATATATATATATATATATATATATATATATATGAGTTTCTCAATGAAAAAGTGATTAAAAGTCAAATGTATAGTAGATCATTTATTAAAGTATAATTCAATATTTTTATTAGAAACTTTCAAGTATGGAACATGTTTATCCTTTTCGAATCAAGTTATCTCACTTTAGTCTAATTTGCTAATTCAAATTGGGTTGTCCTACACCTACCATTCATCGTTTCACAACTAGTTATTTCTCCATGTTAAGTTGTGACCCGATCTAGTGGAAACTCGAGAAACAATCTTCTACCAAAGTCGAATATCAAATTCTCTTGCCACGTACACTTACTCCTGAGTTATAATGGTTATTTTACATATCTCGTTTTTTACATTAGTTTCAATAATTCAGGAAACAAATATGTTGAATTAACATCTCAACTAAAAGTTTAAGTTATTAGTGAAACGTATCATTCATTATTAATATCTCCAAGTAAATACATTGAGATTGACTGTTATTTTGTTCTTCAATAAATTCAAGCTAGTCTTATTGCACCTACCTGCCAACCTACCTACATCTAGCAATCAGTTGCCAAACTTCTTACCAACCACTTGAAGATAGGTGAAGCTTGGTAACTAATTTATTGTATGTAATTAAGACTATGTAGTTTTTTCTTTGTTGTAATGTAATACAACCTTCATAAATTAATAACATCGCTTAAATAATATTTTATTTCGGTTCAAATTCGGTAAAAAAAAAAATTAAATTATTAGTTCGATAATTTAATATTTCGTAAAATTAATAGAATTTTGTTAGTTCCGACTGTATTAATTTAAAGAGGTTTAGTTGTATATCTTACATTTGAAAACATTTAAAAGCAGTCGATTTGATTTTTTGTTTAATAGATATGTATATTTCCGAGATTGGAAGGAGTATTAAACATGTGATTTATTTTTTTTCCACCCTCAAATAAATTTAGGCAAAACTATAAAATTAAAATATCTGTTATTCAAAAAATTGGCCTCAGTGTCGGTGGTCACTTCTCCATTGGACACCTTGTATATTTCAAATATCTAAAACTTTGCATAAATAGCCAAAAATAAACAAAAAAGTACTAATAAGCCCAAATCCCTCACAACATATCATCATCTCATCAACTTTTTCTCCGAACTTGCCAAACCATCAATGGCGGCGGCCAAAGAAGAACACAAGAGCCTGCACATAGTAATGTTTCCATGGCTAGCTTTCGGACACATAATCCCATACCTCGAACTCTCCAAACTCATTGCTCTAAAGGGCCACAAAATCTCTTTCGTTTCCACTCCAAGAAACATCGATCGCCTCCCGAAATTGCCTCCGCATTTGTCTTCCTCCATTGAATTAGTCAAAATCCCACTCCCAAAACTCGACGAGCTCCCGGAAAACGCAGAGGCAACAATGGACATCAATGGCGGACAAATGGACTATCTCAAGATAGCCTTCGACGGGCTCGAATCCGGGTTGACCAGTTTCTTGGAGGATTCGGATCCGGATTGGATCATCTGCGATTTCGCTCCACACTGGCTTCCTCCAATCGCGGCCCGGCTTGGAATTTCTCGGGCCTTCTTCCTCATATTCAATGCTTGGTTTCTGGCCTTTTTCGGGCCTGGAGCCGAAGACATGATAAGCGGGTCGGATTATCGGACCAAGCGTGAAGATTACATGGTTCCGCCAAAGTGGGTCGAGTTCGAGACTGAAGTTGCTTATCGGGGCTTCGAAGCGAACTGGATGGTCGGGTCGGGCCAGACGAACGGTTCGGGGTATTCGGATATTTACCGGGTCGGAAAAGTAATAGTTGGTTGTGAAGCGATTCTCGCGAGACACTGCCACGAGTTCGAACCGGATTGGTTGACTCTACTCGAGGAGCTTCACCGTAGGCCCGTGTTTCCGCTTGGGCTAATGCCACCTCGACTACCACAAGACGGTAAGAAAGATGACTCAGATGAAGAAATTTGGGTTTCGATTAAAAAATGGCTCGATGTTCAGAATAAAGGATCGGTGGTTTATGTGGCGTTGGGGAGTGAGGTGATACCGAGTCAAGATCAACTCAGTGAGTTGGCTCATGGGCTCGAGTTATCTGGAGTCCCTTTCTTTTGGGTTCTAAGGAAACCATCTGGGTTGACCGAGTCTGATGACTCGGTCGAGTTGCCAGATGGGTTTGAGGAGAGGGTAAATGGTCGAGGGATCGTGTGGAGGAGTTGGGTGCCTCAGCTGAAAATACTGAGTCATGACTCGGTGGGTGGGTTCTTGACTCACTGCGGGTGGAGTTCTATTGTTGAAGGATTGATGTTTGGTCATCCGTTGATAACTTTGCCGTTTTTGGTTGACCAAGGTTTGAATTCTAGGGTTATTGCCGAAAAGCAAGTAGGGGTCGAAATTCCAAGAAACGAGGAAAACGGGTCGTACACGAGCAACTCGGTAGCTGACTCGGTGAAGCTCGTGATGCTGGAAAATGATGGGAAGAGATTCCGAGAGAGAGCTAAGGAAATTGGTGCCATATTTGGTGATACGGAATTACACGGTCGATATATAGACAACTTCATTAAGTTCCTCGGACATCATAGAAATATGTCTACAAACACATTAGTTTCTTAATTTGGTCATGGTTTGATAATTGTTATGTTCGGCAACTCACAGCCAACCTCCTAAGATATGACTAAATTACGAAAAAAATTCATCTTGTTTGGGTAATTACAGCCGCCCCCTCCTTTAAAATATTTTTAAATAAATTTATGTAATTCGATTATTTACCGAACCAAATCGCATATTCAGTGCGGTAAAAGGAATAAAATGTTGGCGTACCGAAATTTCGGTTCGATTTTACCGATTTAACATCCCTAAATTTAACTCAAGAGGGGTATTTTCATAAGATAATACATAGTTGAGGGGGTGGATGTAATTACCCAAACAGGAGGGGGTTTTCGTAATTTAACCATAAGTCGGGGTCGCCGTAATTGCCCTTGTTATGGTATAGAGAGAGCTACAAAAATGGCTACAATATTTGGTGATGTGGAATTCCTATATTTCTTAATACGGGAATTTTCGTAATTTAGGCATATCTCAAGGGTTTGTTCGTAATTTACCCTTATAAATTTGAAAACATTTGCATGCATCCAACATCAAAAATATTATACCAGAATGCAAAGAGAAAAACTAGTAAAATTCATGAAGAACCTCAATTTTAGAGTCTATCCAATGTAGAACTTCCTTAATTAATTCAAAAGAAAAAATCAAAATCAGTCTCTAATCAAATCTAGAAAATAATACTTTATAATCGAATCTTGATAAACGCTGTTTCTCGAGATAAACCATAAAACTGCTTGCACAAGCAAACATCAGGTAAAAAGAAACAAAATGGTGAGAGACAGTGTTACACAATGTTTACCAATGTGGTATGTTTTATTTAACTAAAGAATTTTTTCGTATATTTTGCATTCATCACCGCAGTAGCGACAGTGTACGAAAAATTATTTACTTTATATTTCTGTAAAAAAAATAAAAAATAAAAATATCTACCATTTTACTGCTAACAACTTCTGAAAAGAGAATACAATTTACCACTTGATAGAGGAGAGAGAAGCAATTCGACATCTCAGCAGCCAGCTCCATAACCAGGCTTCCAATTGCCACCACTTTCCAAGTTTACGTCGCAGAAAGATTGCCTTTTTTTTATCAGAATATATCCCTGCAAATTATTAAAAAAAACAAAAAAAAAACCATCATCGGTTTTGTGTTCAATTTTAAATTTTACAAAAATATGGTATTAATCCAGTTTTGGTTTTCTATTTCGATTTTCACCAAACCATAAAACTAGCCAACTATAATTTGTGCATACAGTATACACAAGATGACAGCTGGATTTCTTACCCTCGTCAATGTAGGTTGAACGAATCTTCTTGCATTATTGCTAAAAAAAGCTTTTCGCCTTCGAGCTCTTTCTGTATTTTCATCTTAGAGCTCGTTCTGTTTTCTAATAGTGTGTATAAGAATTAGACGTGTAAATAGAGATAGTAATTCATATTGTTGTGCATTAACCAAAGAGATTGCATGCAAAAGAGGCAGATAAACCAACAGCATAATGAAACATATGAAACAAAAGTACAAGCCGAGAAAGAATAAAAGGCAAAATAATGGATATGTAAAGATTTAAAAAACAATCAAGTCGTCTTTCCACGAAGAAATCTCAAGAATTAAAAAGAGCAACATGAATGAATTTTAAAAAGTGGGCTCCAATCCATCTAAAATCTTAAAAAATGACACGACGCAGAAACCGGATCCAGGATAAATGAATACTATGTAAGATCTTTCTTTTGAAAATTAGCACTTAAGTATTCCAAAAAGAAGTAATTACCTCGTGACATTGCTTTCACATCGAATCTAGAATGTAGCAGCACAGCCAAATTCTCTAAATCCGCAATTTCGAAAAGACGGATGCACCCCTGGCATATATGAGTTGCATATGTTTGGCCCTGCAAGTCAAAGAGAATCAAATGCTCACATCATTTTTCTGTAACAAATAGAATAAATCGTATACTTCCCTCCCTCTCTGTATTCGTTTAGCACGAAGAGTCCACTACTTGTGACCCGTACCCATATTTAACGTACATTAATCATGTAGATTAACATAGATATTACAAAAGAAATTTCTGATAAGTATATTTGTAACCTGAAAAATCAGAAGGAAAAAAAAAATTGAACAGAGAAGATAAAAATCACTTGCCTCATTTCTTTAAGATCTCCGTCTATAGTCTATAGTTATTTCCTGTACTGAAATAAACATCAACAGCCAGTCGAGCTCTTTGACCCCCAATCACTGCATGATCTCATGGCATAAGGTAATTATCAGATCTGAATATTATGCAGAAAATCTGACAAAAAGACGGGGACATTTGTCTGGTCCAATGACAGAACCACCGAAACTGTCTTGCTAATTCCTAGACCAGCCGAGAGAAAACGATTAAATATATTATCTTCTACGTGCCCTTTTCTTGATCGAGAATCCCCTGTATCAACATTGTATGAGTTTGAGGATTAAGTGTGCAACCAGACTTCTCCATTACACCGACCAGCTCAGAGCATATCTTCACAAAGCCCCTCTTCAGCAAACCATCAATCAAGACCTTCCATGCCACCTCATCATAATTGTAACCACAATGAAGCAGCTTACAAAATATTTCCTTAGCCTTCTCGCCGTTTCCTTTCACATATAACCCACAAACAAGCAGCTTATACGACTCTAAATGAGGTAAAAGTCCACGCTTGAGCATCGCATCAATTAAACCCAAAGCTTCCTCGTACATTTTCATATTGCAGCAACAATTTATTAATTTGGTGTACATATACCCGTTCAGAGATATTCCATGTTGTTCCAAATGATCAACCAATTTCCAACCTTCTTCAATACGCCCTTCTCTGCAAAGTCCGGTGATAAGTGCATTATAGGTGCCTACATTCGGTGCACAACCACATTCTTTCATTTTTTCAAAGAGCTTCAAAGCTGTATCGTGTTCCATAGTTTTCCAAACATCGGCTATATTAATCGATCCACCATTTCTATTGATTAATTTTTCATGTGAGAGATGCTTGATTAAAACGGAATACGTATAATGAGATGGCTCACATCCAGCATCAACCATAGATTTGAAGGTATCAAAAGCAAGATTTAAAAATCCCGAACGCCCATATCCATCAATTAGTACCGTGTAAGCCATTAAATCTGGCAAGATTCCTTTCTCTTTCATTTTAGCCATTACATCCTCTGCTTCTTTCAGCATTCCTTGGTTGCAATAAGCAACAAGAAACGAGGTGTATGTGCACACATCAGGTTTATGTCCCAGAGCAATCATATGACTCAAAACTCTATCGGCACTTTCAAAGTCGAACTCTTTCAACATTTGCTCAATGACAATCGAGTAAGTAACAATCGTCGGTTTCATCCCACCCTCCAACATCTTTTCAAGCAATTTCAAAGCTTCGGGTAATTTTTTCAATTTGCACAATCCATTTATCAGCACATTGTAAGTGTACGAGTTGGGAAGGCAGTCCTCAGTAAGCATTCTTTCAAACAGAGCAAGGGCAAAGTCAACATTCTCTACATTGCAGTATCCATCAATTAGAGCAGTATACATAACTTTATTCACCTTTAAGCCTTTCTCTTTGAGAGAGTTAAATATGCCATACGCCTTATCGACACTCCCTTTTTTACACAAAGCATCAATGAGAGGACCATACGTTAACTGATCAGGAACTACATTGTTCTCTTCCATTAACTTAAGCAGGCGAAAAGCACTATCTACATCACCCGACTTACACTGCCCACATACTAAAAGGTTAAAAGTGACAAGATTCGGAAAAATCTTTTGATGTAGCATCTTACTAAGAAGTGCCATCGCCCTATGCACTTCTTTCACCTCACAGAATCCAAAAATCAACTCATTATAAGTACGCACATTTGGAACACAATGTTTCGACTCCATCATGTCGAATATCTCTAAAGCAGAACCAACCATTCCCTTCTTACAATACCCATTGATCAAAGCATTATATGTCACTATACTAGGAACCAACCTATTATCTAACATCCCTCTCAATATTTTCCTGGCTTCGTCAAGCATACCATCTTTACACGTACCGTCAATAACTACAGTGTAAGTGTGAATATTTGGCGCACAGCCTTTCTCCATCATCTCCTCAAACAAGCTCAAAGCCTCCAATCTCCTAGCCGAACCACACAAAGCATCAATCAGAATTGTGTAGGTTCTAACATTCGGAAAACAATTATCATCCCTCATTTGCAAGAAAAGACTTTTCGCTTCGTCCACTTTGCCCGCTTCGCACAACCCATGCATCAAATTATTATACGAAACTTCATTCCTCCGACAGCCCTTTTCCGGCATAGTCGAGAAAACTTTACTTGCACTGTCAACATCTTTTTTCCTACAATGTCCTAAAATGAACGATGTGAAAGTATGAGTGTCCGGTTTCAAACCAGCCTGCAAAATCATACTCATATAATACTCAGCCTCTCTCACATTACCCAATTTACAGAAAGCATTTATCATTGTATTAAATGTATATATATTCGGCGACACCTGATCGTCCAACATCTCCCTGTATACAGATTTCATGTCGTCGACCATCACGAACCGAGCCAGAGACATCAGAAGCATGTTATAACACCTAAGGTTAAATCTGAACTTAAAGTCGCAATCTTCACCACTATTCATCCTGCGGAGAAAACTCAATGCGAAGCTGGCATCCTCCTCGATCTGGCAAGACTTGATCATTAAAATCCGGGTTTTCTCCGCATCCCGAAACGACTGATTCCTTATCAAAATGCGCAGAAGGGAAGCAAACGCTTGGACATTGGGCTTGAAAGTGGGGGCGCGTGTGAGAAAATTGAAGAAATTGAGGGCAATCTGAGGGTTGAGATGGGGATGCTGGAGGAGGAAAGAGGAGAAAAGAGAAGGGGATATCGTCGGAATCAATTTTCTGAGGGAGGGATGCTTCTGCCAATTGGGCTGGCATAGGAGGGAAAACAGCTGGGATGAGAGGTCCGATGCGGGCGAATCGGGTTGGGGAACGGGTTCGGGCGCGACGGAGAATGAGAGTGGTTTGGAGAATGGGGAGAGGATGAAAATGGAGGAGTGGCCGGAGGAGAGGAGTGGCGGCGGCGGTGCGGCGGCGGCGGCGGCCGATCGTATCATTGTGAATGGGAGGAATCGGACAGCGGCGGAGGAGCGGAAGACGCCATTCATGAATGACCTACTTTTGGTGTAGGTGGATTAGGAGCAGAGATTCATGGATCGAAGAAGAAGAAGAAGAAGATGATGAAGGAAGGAATGAAAAGAGGGGGAGAATTGGAATTGGAAATGGAGAAAAAAAGGGTTTTGGTTGTCTGTTACAGTACTGCTGTGAGAGTAGGGATTGCTAGTTGGGTCGGATCGCCGAAATATGGGGCTCCGCCCGCCCGTATTGGTGAAGTGGAGAAATTAGAAGCCCGATTTATGTTTTCATAAAATAAAAAAGTAAATTAAAGGGTAAATTACAACTACCCTTATGTATGGTCAAATTACGAAACCCCCCTCATGTCTGGTTAATTACAACCACCCCTCAAATGTAAATCATCTTACACGTCCACCCTTGCGGTTTCAAATTTAGTGGAATCTTCGAGATTATATGGAATATTATCACTTTTGTACCCGTTTTACCATTAGAACTCCACATTTTGAAGCAAGATAATCATAATATGTGTTTTTTGGCTTGTATATATCAGATTGTGGTGCATAAAAAACTGTATTTCTACACAAAACGAGTTCAAACTAAAGCACATTCCACGAAATCTACATGATTATGTTGAATTTGACACCATAAAGGTTGAGGTGTAAGAAAAAATCATAGTTGAAGGGGTAGATGTAATTATCTATACAAGAAATTTGTTTTCGTAAACTGACCATACCTCAGAGGTGGTTGTAATTTACACTAGTTTAAATTCTTGGACGGATTATTTTAAATATAAAATAATTTTAATCCTATTATATTAACAAGATATTAAAACATTTATAAATTAATAATTATTAATGTATACATTTATTAATAATTTATTACTTTATAAAATTATTATTATTATTATTATTATTATTATTATTATTATTATTATTATTATTATTATTATTATTATTATTATTATTATTATTATTATTATTATTATTATTATTATTATTATTATTATTATTATTATTATTATTATATGAAGTTAAAAAATAATGTACTAACTATTGTTCAAACTTCAAAATATAAATGATAAACAAAATTTATTTGAATCACTAAACTAAATAACAAAAATATTAAAATCTAGACATTTTTTTTTTAATAACGTTCACGATATTTTTTTTTAACGTAAAACATTACGACACTTTGAGGGGCTAATTTTATGAATTTGGTTAATTCGACTTTCTGGTCTATTGAAGTAGAACGAATTCGCGTTCCGGTGAGCTCTTCTTATGTTAAGGATTGTTGGACCTGGCATATCTCCGATAATAGTAAATTTACGGCAAGCTCATGTTATTTTAATTTCCTATCGGTAAGAGCCAGTACACGAAAACCTTATTACCTAGATGGGAGCTCTCAGAGTGGGAGCTTCATGGAGAGAAATGAATACAAATGACCGAGATTAAAATAGCGAAATTGGCGCCTAGCACAAAAACAAAGTTATGGTAATCGCTTTACTCATGTTTTAGCAAAAGTTTTGGCTAATGATTTTATTGTTGGTACTGAATATTCTTTGGAAGAAGAAGTGGCTTTTGCCTAATGAGATTTCATCATTTTCCAAAAAAAAAAAAAAAAAAGTCCCCTAATTTTGTTAATTAATAAATTGCTCTATTCTAGGGTCATACATAATTTACTTTTGCCTCTTGGTTTGGAGGTAAGGATAGATAAATTAATAGGTTAAGACCTTATTTGCTTATCTAGATCGGATTACATTGGATTAGGTGAGATTTGATTAATATTCCACTGACTAATTAATTATTTAGTTAATAAGATGTTTGATTCGTTAGATTAAATTTGTTAAATTTTGGTATCAATTGTGAATTGTCTAAAAAATCTTTTAATTAACAAAATTAAGATATTGTTTTAAGGATAAAATTGTATTTTTCTCTATTAATCACCCTCTACTAAATTAATCGGAGTGGAGGAGTGCTACTAATTTAACCAAATAATAACATTTAATTGCGGACTTTAAATATAGTAACGGCCTAGAATAAATACGAATCTCATCAACCAAACATCTTACTAACCCCTATTAGTTAATTAATAGAGCTTAGTAGCATTAAGGAAATGAGGCCTAATTAATGTTGTCGTGAATATAATTATATAATATTTATTTTAAAGATCCGTTATATGTAAGTTATATATAACTAACCACCAAAGTAATTACATTCTTGTGCATATATCTAAAATGCGCTTTTAAAATAAATTTTAAACCCTAGCCACTCACAGTCGTCTCTCTCTTCCTCTCTCAACTCTCAGATTCAAATCTCACCTCCATAGATCTTTAACCGGCAAAGTTGCTTTCCAAAGTCATAACTCTCCATCCGGTGGTTGGAATTCGATGGTTTAACTACCGTTGGATTCCTCTCGTCGAGCTCTTTCTTTTGGTGGTAATTTCATTTAGTTTGTAGCACTGGATCTTTTTCTGAATTTTTTTTTCAGTCAGCGCGTATTTCGACGACGGTTGGTCTTGCCGAAGGTGTATTTTCTGTTCCGCTAGTCGGAATTTGACGGGCTACCCACTGTTGAATTCCTCTCGTTGAGATCTGTATTTTGATGGAAATTTCGTTCAGTTTTATATTGTTAGATTTATTTATGTAATTTTTTTCATTTTTGAGCGCGGAACCTTGGGTGGTTAGCGGCCGCTAGGATTTTGGTAGGAGGCAATTGGGGTGAGGAGTCATAGGCGGCTTGGTCTAAAATTCGTAGCATTTTGCAGCTATGACCCCTCTCTCTCTCTCTCTCTCTCTCTCTCTCTCTCTCTCTCTCTCTCTCTCTCTCTCTCTCTCTCTCTCTCTCTTAGTGTTTGTCGATTTTTGAACGTTTTAATATTTTTTCAATTTTTTTGATTTGCACTAAAATAGTTTTTTTTTTTTTTTTTTTTTTGATTTTGCAATTGCAGTTTAATAAGAGCCATTGATCCTCTCCTTGAAGGTGTCAAAAAGTTGGTTGAAGTTACATTTGTTTCAAGTTACAGTGTTTAACAGATTGTATACATTATTGTACATTACTATACATTACTAGTTACATATATATACTAACATGTAATTACATATGTATATATTTGTTCATTTTCGATTTGTATTTTATTGGTTTTGAGGTGATTTATAATATAAATATTGAAATTTGTAAATTTCTGTTGTTGGGTTTATGAATTTCTTTTGTATAAGCCAGTATCCGTATGTATACATACTGGATCGACTAAAAATATGGGGTAAAAAAAAATCATAAGTACGAATTACTATAGTTTACTACAATTACATGTAGTTATTTTCAGTACAGTAAACAAATTGATTTTACAAAAAAACAATACAAAAAAAAAATTAAAAAAGAAATTAATTTTTTTTTTTAATTTTAAAAAATTAAATAAAAATAAAAAAAACTAATAAAATATATATAAATTAAATAAAGAGGTTTATAAAAAAATTAAAAAAGAAATAAAAAAGAAAAGAGAGAGAAAAAAGTAATAAATAAATTAGCAAAAATGTTGAATGCAGTTTGGCTGAAATTGTATATAAGGGTAGTATAATACTTTAGGATAGCGGATCCGGACTTAGTGTCCCCAGTGAACCAACCCTCATTGAAGTTGAAATTTTCACACTACGGCTGTTAGAATTTGATCCTAGGACATTGTACCAACGTATCATCCCCGAAACCAGTTGAGCTACACCCATGCAAACTTTACAATGCAGTACTTGATTTGACTAGGCTTTGATTACGTGGAATTTAAATAAGATACTAACTATTCCTTGGATACAAAACTTATGAAACAATGTACTTTAAGTAGTGTATCTCTATAAAAATAATAGTGCCATAAGAGAATTTTAAGTAACATACGCATATCAACGTGTTAGTGGATAATTATTTAGATAAATTTATAGTTCATATTACTCAATGTGTTACATTAGATGTAACATTTCATAGATTGTATTATTATTATTATTATGCGAGGATTTAAATAGTTATCATTATGTGAGGATTTAGATAGAGAGCTGACAAACGAGAGTTTAGATTAAAAAAATTAGCTAGAAAACTTAATAAACATATACGGTCTTTTCCAAATAATGTTAAAAAAAAAAAAAGAGTTTAGATTAGGTAACAATTAATTAAAGAATTTAACAAGGATATATATATATGCCCGCATGGGTGTAGCTCAACTGGTTCCGGAGGTGGTAAGTTGGTGCAAGGTCCTAGGATCGAATCCTGGCAGCCGCAGTGTGGGAATTTCAACTCCAATGAGGGTTGGTTCCTTGTGGGCACCAGGTCCGGGTCCGCTACCTTAACGGGCCGTTGAGTTACCATGATTTACATTCCTCCATCAATCGTTGTCGGGCCAAGGGATGGGGGCCCTGGGGGCGAGGGATTTCGCCTTTTGGTGCAAGGATATATATATATATATATATTTGAAGTGGTGTTAAATTAATAAAAAAAGACCATAACTAAAAACTTAGCTAATAAATGTAAAGTACATGTACGACGTGCTAATGTGAAAGGATATTAGATTAAAGAACTTAAACATTTTTTTTTCTTGTGCATTTTCATGTAAATTGTATAGACTCAATTACGCAATTAATCACCCAATTAGTCAATTAATCCTTCACAAATCAATATTTATCTTGGCCCTGTCTAATTTAGTAATTTTACATCCAACTCCACCACCGCCGCCGCCGCCGCCGTTGAAATCCACGCGTAAAACATGGAGGCGGCAGCTCCTCCTCCATCTCAGAAACTCACCAAATTAGAAACAACAAAACAGCCAAACAACCACCGAAGCCCCTCCGCGCGGGGCGGCGCGTCCATTAAAACCAAACACCAAAACCCAGACCCTCCCGCCGCCGCGCAGGTGGCGTTCCGCCTCCTCTGCCACGTCCGCACCGCCGGCGCCGTGATCGGAAACTCGGGATCCGTAATCAGGCGCCTGGAAACCCTCACCGGGTCGAAAATAAAGTTCGAGGAAGGCCTCCCGAACTGCCACGAGCGCGTGGTCAACATCGTCGGAGATGCCGCCGTCGAGAAGAGAATATCCGTCGGAGAAGAAGAAACGGCGGAGGTGTCGAAAGCGCAGGAGGGTTTGCTGAGAGTTTTCGAGAGGGTTCTGGAGGTAGAATCGAACTCTGAGAATAAGGAGAGAGAAAATAATGAGTTCAATTGTTGCCGGTTATTGGTTCAAACGGGTCGGGTCGGGGCGGTGATGGGGAAAGGAGGTAAGATTGTTGATGGGATTCGTAAAAGCTCCGGTGCGAAGATTAGGGTTCTTAAGAAGGAGCAGCTTCCTGTTTGTGCAGGCCCCAAAGATGAGCTGATTCAGGTAATTCCGTAATTATTATTATTGATCATCGGAGTTTTTATTTGCAGTTTGATCCTTCAAATTTTCTCAATGAAACAACTCACGTTCGGGGTTTGGAGGGTCTTGGATTAGGAACCGACCCGTTTCGAGTGGATCTATATTTCTAGAACGAATGGTTCTGGGTCGGGTTACGCGTCTCGTTTATCAAACTTTCAAATTTTATTGTGTGTATTCTCATTTATCCATTTTTCACTATTTTACTTTTTCGAATGTCATTTCTTGTAAATCATATCTGTCATTTATCGACGACCACCGGTAGTCGTCTTTGCATTTTGAACTTTATTTATTATAGAAGATAAATATAATTAATTATATAATTTTAGTATTCACTTTATATCACTTGTAGAGGTTTTTTCTAATTGCATTTAATTTTGAGATTCCTTTGATAAAATATACAAGCAAAATATTATAAATGTAAAAAAATATTGAATTTTTTGTATGATGTTACCAGGTCTAACGGGTCAGAACGTTTCATTTGAGTATGGATCGAGGCAGGTCTTGGTTCATATATTTCTCGTGGGTCGGGTTTCGGGTTTAGGCAAACTCGGCCCATAACCGACCCGTTGCCATCCTTATTACCAAGCACCACAACTCATATTTACACATTCATCGGATATGTGCCTAGAGTGTAATATGTTTGCTTCTTAATGGATATTTGTCATTGGCCTTTTACTTTGTAACACCCGTAGGACGAGCTCTCTTAGCTGCACACTCGAGTCTAAAATAAATCGAAACGGGAAGATTATTTTTTGTCCATGGTTGTCGATGATGGTATTGAGTTTGTTTTATCACATGAAATTAAGGTTTCCAGCATGTCAATTCGGGATAGTTGCCACTCTCATTTTTTTTTTCTCTTCGACTCCTTGTGCATTTTGAAAAATATTAATTATCTGGCAGATCACGGGTGGAATTATGGCGGTAAAGAAAGCACTACTTGCCGTTTCTCGTCTTCTTCAGGGTCGAACCCTTCGGGGAGAAGCTACTCGCCACTTGTCTTCCGCAGGAACTGATCTCGAGTTTCATTCTGTTGGCCATTCTGCGTCAGCTGATGTGGACAAAATTCTTAATTCGCACGAAGATAGTTCCTCGAGAAAAGTGACGTTCAAAATTTTGTGCTCTAGCAGAATAGCTGGCGGCGTGATTGGAAAGGGTGGAGATACTATAAGATGTCTTGAAAACGAAACGGGGGCTTCAGTAAATTTTGTATCACCCGCATCCGGCTCGACGGAGCGTGTCGCAATTATCTCCGCACTGGAGGTTGTTAATTTATATTATTATTGTTTTTTTTCTCGATAAAGTCTTTTGTTTGATCGCACGAATCTTATCCTGTCTTTGCAGAGTCACGATCCGTTGTTCTCTCCCGCACAAATTGCCGCAGTTCGTGTTTTCGCCAGGTCTATGGAGGTTAGCGTTGACCAGCGGTTGATATCAGGCTTAGGCAAACACGAGAGTGTGTCTACAAGACTTCTGGTCGGATCGAGTCAAATTGGTTGCTTGATGGATGAAGGTGGAAGAGTTTCTCCGGATATAAGTATTGCAACGGGGGCTGAGATAATATTGGTGGGACCCGATTGTCTTCCAAAATGCGCTCAAATCGGCGATAATGTTGTCCAGGTTTGAGCTTGAGCTGCTACCGTTTCTCCTTATTTTAATTTTATTTTTTATGAAAATTACCGATTTTCGGTTCGCGCACGTCAATGTGGTCGACATCAATTATATGAAAGCTTTCGTTCACAGATTACCGGTAACTATGAAAATGTTAAAAACACTGTATTTCAACTAACTGGGAGACTGAGGGAGAGCTTCTTTTCGGAAGCAGAATGCAGAAATGGTTCATACTCGGGTATTCCTAGAACAAGTCCCAATGGTGGCGGAGAGACAAAATTGTCGAGACTTTCTTACATGGATCAATTATATGAAAGCGTTCGTTCACGAATTACCAGTAACTATGAGAATGTTAAAGGCGCTGTATCTCAAATAACTGGAAGACTGAGGGAGAGCTTCTTTTCGGAAGCAGAATGCAGACATTGTTCACACTCGGGTATTCCTAGAATAATTCCCGATGGCGGAGAGACAAAATTGTCGAAACTTTCTTACGTGGATCAACTTCATCACCTAGGATTTGTACACAAATCAACCACTTCTCACATACCGGGATCACAGTCGGAACCGGTAAAGGTTTTGTTCTAATATTTCGTTTTCGTGTGATCTCTTTTATTTATAGATATTTCATTGTTACTGGTTTCACTTTCACAGGAAAACAGTGCACGGAGTATTCGGAGACACGTTAATAGTTCTAAAGCCTTGACAACTACTACAAGTGGGCTTAAGCATCAAAGGTATGCAACTCTCTCTCTCTCTCTCTCTCTCTCTCTCTCTCTCTCTCTCTCTCTCTCTCTCTCTCTCTCTCTCTCTCTCTCTCTCTCTCTCTCTCTCTCTCTCTCTCAAATATTGATTTTTAACGAGTCTGAAACTTTCCGCGGCCCTTTCTGGTTCTACTTAAGAGAAAAAATGTTACCACTATTTGCTTGACAAATTCAATTGAATTTCTTTTGCAGTAATGTTAGAAACGAGGAGCCAAAACTAACGGTGAAGGTTGAGGTCCCAGAAAAAGTATTTGATTTTGTCTACGGTGAGAATGGAAGCAACCTCGCTCGCCTAAGAGAGGTAGGTGTATTTATGAAAGGGTAAATTACGAGAACTATCCTCCAAGTTAAACCACTAATTTCCCCTTCGTATGTGCTTCCATTTTGTTTTTCGGCAATTTACACCTAGGGAGGGGTATTTGTAGTTTCAAATAGTAATTCCCATTTTGGTTATTTTCTCATTATAATGTCAATATTTTTTTTATATCCGATTTTCTTTTGCCAGATATCAGGTGCAACGGTCATAGTAAAAGATCCTCGTCCGGGAGAAAATAGTGGGAAGGTGATTATATCAGGGACGCCTGAGCGAATCCAGATTGCACAGACCTTACTTCATGCATTCATTTCATTTTAACAATCGAATCGTGCTCTTTGGATTTATTATTATCCCCGTAAGTAAAGTTTAACCAAGTAGAATAGTGTAATTAAAATAAATAAATAAATAAATAAGTAAATAAAATACATGATTGAGTTGTAATTTGTAATAAATCAAATGTTGTTGTTGTGCATGAAACTCTTCATTCTTAAAGCAAATTATAATGAGTGAATTGTAAAGAACTAAACTCCTAAATGGTGAATTTTTAGAGGTAGTTGCTTAAAAAAACTAAACATGTGGGATTTTTTGTGATTAAAACAAAATAGCATATGGATTTTTTTAATAATTAGAGTAAACATGGAGTTGTCGAATGCAATAAACCAACCTTAATTATATTAATGGAGTTGACAAAGTCAACTGATGACATACTATGGCCCACTATCCACATCCTCATAAATCATGAGTTGGGATTGTATGACTAGAAATCATCCACTCAATCATTAATACAGGTGTAATTATTGAATCATGTGTTGGGATAGTTTGATTAGAAATGTTTTAATTACATTTTACACCCTTAAAATGTAGCATTTTGGCATTTTATACGTTTGGATTTTATTAATATCAGTTTGCATCCTCAAAATACAATAAATCATTCACAATTATGCCCCCATATTGATTTTTTTATAACTTAATGAGGATGATTTCTTCTTAATACTGGTATTTTCAATGAAGAAAATAAATCGCACTAAATGACTTGAAAAATTAGTTTTTATATGACACCAGGTCCGGGTCTGCTACCTTAATGGGCCCTTGAGTTACATGATTTACATTCCTCCATCAATCCTTGTCGGGCCAAGGGATGGGGGTCCTGATAATTAACGAATCATGTGATTGGGTTGCGTGATTAGAAATCATTCACTCAATCATTAATACAAATAATAATTAGGGGTAATATGCATCACACCCCTCAAACCAAACCTACTTAGATATGAGTGACAATCTCAAATAAAACATTTTAACTACACCCTTATTTTAAAATAAAAATTGAGACACATCCTTTATTTTTTATTTAACCCAAAATACCCTTACAATACCTAATAAAAATCACTCTTTCTCTCTCTTCCCCTCCCCTCTATCTCACGCCGCTCAACAACCCCCACCTATTCTGACTTTCTCGTTTCTCCCCCACCCCCCACTCTCTCTCTCTCTCTCTCTCTCTCTCTCTCTCCATGAAGGCAGCAGGTCTATCTCTCTCTTTTCATGAAGGCCGCAGGTCTCTCTCTCTCTCTCCATGAAGGTCGGCGGCGGCGGCCACAAAGGGAGCAGCAGCAGGAGCAGGTGCAGCGTAGGTTGTGATGGAGAAGGCGGTGGTTTCAAAGGGTTGTGCGGCGGGGTTGTGCAGTGGGGATTGTGCGGCGGTGTTGGGGGGCGGTGTTGGGGGCTGCGGTGGTCGGCAGTGTTGAGGGGCTATGGTGGTCGGCGGTGTTGGGGGCTGCGGTGGTCGACGGTGTTGGGGGCTGTGGTGGTCGGTGGTGTTGGGGGCTGCTGTGGTCGGCGGTGTTGGGGGGGCTGTGGTGGTTGGCGGTGTTGGCTTCTAGGGTTTGACGACTGCTGTGTTTATGACTAGGGTTGGCGAGATTGGGTGTTGTTGGGTGCTAGGGTTTGGTAGTACACCGTAGTAGACTATAATACACTATAATATACCATAGTCTACATAGTCTACATGGTATACTATAGTATTCACAACAAATAAATTTAAAAAAAAAATTAAAATATATGTAGCTTGAATTAACAAAAATGAATTTTTTTTTTTCGTAATTTTTAATATCATGTAGGATTTGTTTTTTAATAATAGTGTAAAAATTATAGTACACCATAGTATATCATAGTGCACCATGGTATTTTTTAAAATTTGCTGAATTATTTAACAATTTTGTTTCCCGTAATTTCCAATAAAATATAAAAAATAAGGGAAAAAAACGGTTTATAATAATGTAGAAAATGTTAGAGTGAAAATTGAAAAAATAAAGATGAGTGAAAGGGCATTTTCGGAATAAATTTTATAAAGGATGTGAAGCAAATGTTTAGTTGAGCTTGTCATTTAGTTCTAATTAGTTTTATCACTAGGGACATATATCTTAAGATCCCTAATAATTAATGTGCAAATAGTAATTATTTATAAAAAACAATTACATAATAATATCCTCATACAACCAACTAATTATGAATAGACCACCTAATATACAGTCTCTCTCTCTCTCTCCAATATATGATACTTTTTCTATGTTGTAAGTTGTAACACTAAAAAAGTTTGGCATAAACTCCCTTCAAGTAAACTTTCATTTTAAATTTTGATGTTTGGATATTGAATAAATATTTCGATTTCTATGATATATTGCACAATACATTCATCATATCCCCTCCAAATGTTAAAATCTTATATTTGGATGTAACCAAATTCACTCAATTATTGATACATTATACTTTTTTTCATTGAAGTTTGAGAGCGTCGATCGGTCTTCCCAAGAGCGATAAAACCGTCCCGCAAATATGCCTCGACGAGAGGCCCGCTGCTTCAATCTGATCTTGTGGTGCTCCATGATCGATGTATTTATCGGGCAACACCATTGATCTCAACTGCATGTCGAAAAAAAAAAAAAAAAAAAATCAAAAGTTAGTCGAAAGCTAAATATCTGAAATATTTAATCCTTCCATCCAAACGGAGCCTAACAGTGTTTTTGTTTACCTTGAGATGGCCATCCAAAATACCGTTTAGGCTGAGAAAATGTGAAACATGTGATCCAAAGCCTCCAATCGAACCTTCTTCCACGGTGATCAATATTTCATGTTCTTTGGCCAATCGTCTGATCAATTCCGTATCCAACGGTTTGCAAAATCTTGCATCGGCCACCGTTATCGATACGTTGTGGGATTTCAGCATTTCCGCAGCTCCCAAACACTGTTGAACTATCGCTCCGTATCCAAGAATCGCCACTTTACTACCTTCCACGAGTATCCTTCCTCTCCCAATCTATTAAAAATTAGTCGAAAAATGGAAATCTTAGGCCACGTTTGGTGGCTCCAATGGGATCAACCAAGATAAAATTACGTGCAATCACAATTCTCCAATAAGCCAAGATAAGATCCGACAATAAGATCAATTTTTTTAGCCCGTCTCGAAATATTTGGATCGACCCACAAAGTTATTGAAATGGTCAAATACCAAATACAGTTAAACCTCTATAAATTAATAAAGTCGGGACTAGGGAATTAAATTCTATTAATTTAGCGAATTATAAAATTATCGAGTTAATAATTTAACATGTTTTCATCGAGTCGGGATCGAGAGAAACTATTATTTAATCGAGGTTATTAATTTATGGAGATTCTACTATATGGCTGTTTTATTTAATTAATCATGGTCAATCTGGTGTTGAATTGGTTAAATATCAAATGAGGCTCCATTTTATTTAGTTAATCATGGTTAATCTACTGAACCAAACGAAAATCCATTTAGTTATTCGAGTGAGAGTCGATATTCTTACTTCAAGTGGTATTCCTTTGTTACTAGGTGGAAGAGCAGCCCCAACGCCATTGCCCCTCGGAAATCGAAAGCAGCTCGGCCTATCGTCTATAGCCGCTGATGTGGCGATCATATGCATAAGCTCCGCTTCATCCGACGGTGCCATGACCACCATATTAGGCAAGCACGCCATGAACGCGACATCGAACGCTCCGCAATGCGTGGGCCCATCCGCACCAACTAAACCCGCCCGGTCCATCGCGAACCGGACCGGTAGCTTTTGAAGATCCACATCATGCACCACCTTTTCATATACCAATTTTCAAAAATCATCATCATAAATAAAAAAAAATAAAAAAAATCATAATTACTAAAGAAAAAAAGATTCTTTTTTTTCGATTTTTTTTACCTGGTCGTATCCTCTTTGGAGGAAAGACGAATATATAGCGCAAAACGGCTTGAGCCCTTCAGTGGCTAAGCCAGCTGCGAACGTGACCGCATGCTGCTCCGCAATGCCGACATCAAAGCAACGATCGGGAAATCGTTTCTGGAAATAATTCAAACCGGTTCCTCCTCCCATTGCAGCATGAATAGCCACGATTTTGCTATCTATCTCCGCTTCTTTTATAAGCGACTCAGCGAAATATTGCGTATACGAAAGCGTCGAAGATTTCACCTTGTTTTGTTTTCCGGTATTTGTATCAAACTTCACAACACCTATAAAAAAAAATAATAAATAATCAGACACAAATGTTTTTCTTAAAAATGGTCGGATTGGATTGGATTTGATTTTTAAATATTATTATTACCGTGCATTCTGTCAGCGGCTGCTTCGGCCGGAGGGTAGCCTTTGCCTTTTTCGGTGACGATATGAATTAGAACTGGACCGGGTGCAGGCATGGATTTGACCTTTTCGAAAATGGTGACTAAATCATTGACGTTGTGGCCGTCGACCGGGCCTATGTAATATAATCCGAGCTCTTCGAAGAGTGTTGAACCGGGGGCACTAAGCATCCCTCTTGCGTATTCGTCGACTTTTGCCGCGACTTCGTGTGCTTGTGGCCCAATTTGCTTTGTTATGCTCTGTCGAAATTCAGGAAAATATCGAAACTATAAGAAGCTTTTCTCGGGAATAGGAGTGGAAACTGGAATGGAATTTGAATTATGCTTATTTTGATTCGAAAATTTCCGATCTTGCAACAATTTTTCTTTTCTCATTCCAGTTTCCCGAATTCCAAATTGCAATTTGTTTTTCTAAATGTCTTTAAATTTCCAATTTTGGAACATTTTTTTTCATTCCAGTTTCCGAGATTCCAAATTCTGATTTATTTCCCAAGTGTTTTTAAATTTCCAATTTTGGAACATTTTTGTTCATTCCAGTTTCCGAGATTCCAAATTTCACAGCCAATCAATATAGATGCACTGAGTAACAACTATCAATATTTTTACATTTGTAGTAAGAAGTTAGGTATCCTTTTTTTAGTGGCCCTAAGGTAGACGACGATTATAGATACAACGATTTCAAGCATAGACACATTCGAGAAAGGAGAAAGCAAAGAAGTTAGAGTTACCTTTGCAGCTTCCCTAAGTTGTCTGAATTTGGGGCTAGCTTGAAGCTTCGTGAGAGCGCTACTGAGGGCCCCGACAGGCGTCGCGGGCCCGTCAAGCGTTGCAGTGGGCAACGAAACCTGTTTGTTGTCGTTCAAAATAACAATAAGGTTAGAATCAAGAAACCCCGCATTGTTCATCGCCTCATACGCTTGTCCAGCCGTCATCGCCCCGTCACCAATCACTGACACCACGTTGTTCTTCTTCCCCAATAGATCTCTTCCCACCGCCATACCTACCCAATTAAAAAATAAAATAAAAAATCATATCTGAAACCCATATGCTACATCAGATGAAATACAACATTAGTCACAAAAAAAAAAATGTTACCGAGTCCAGCCGATATGCTCGTCGAACTATGACCAGCACCGAAAGCATCATAAACACTCTCATCCCTTTTCGGAAATCCAGCTAGCCCTGAAGTTTTCCTTATAGTGTGCATTTTAGACCTTCTACCGGTTAGAATTTTATGCCCATAAGCCTGCAATTTCCAATCAAGAAAATCGAAAAAAATCGGAAAAAATAAATAATTTATTTATTTATTATTTTTCAATTAAATTAAATTTAATCAATTTCATTTTTTTAAAATTATAATTACCTGATGACCAACATCCCATATAATTCTATCATCAGGGCAATTAAAAACATGGTGTAGAGCCACAGTCAACTCAACCACACCTAAACTCGAACTTAAATGCCCTCCGGTTTTCGCTACCGTGTAAACAATCTCCGCTCTAAGTTCTGCAGCTAGCTGCTCGAGATCCTGAGGGCAAAATAGACTTTTCATAATCTTGAAACATTAATTAATGTAATATTAAAAAAAAATTAGTGCGAGATTAGTGATTTATGTTTATATACACCTTTGTGGAGAGGTTCTTCATATGAACCGGATAGTTGATTGTATCGAGCACCGGCGTTGCCGGTTTTTCGCCGGAGAAATCAATCTTCCAGCCGTCTTTTTCTTTCTTTATTACCATCTTTCCTTCCTCCGGTTCTGAATTTCCGGCGGCCGATGATTTAACGCAGAACTAAACATTTTTCGCCAAAAAAAATTTAAAATAAATAAATAAAATATTAATATTAAAGAACCACCATCAAAGAAAAGATTGAACATTACATATAACTTGAAAACATTAAGACATAGAACCCAGCCCTGAATTCAAAAAACCAAAAAAAAAAAAAAAAAAAACAGCCTTGTACTCTCTCTCTCTCACATCTCTCTAATCTCTCTCATCTCTTATCTCCCTCATCTCTCTCATATCTCTCTCTCATATCTCTCTCATATTTCTCTCATCTCTCTCTCATCTCTCTCTCATATTTCTCTCATCTCTCTCTCATCTCTCTCTCATCTCTCTCATATCTCTCTCTCATCTCTCTCTCTCTCTCTCTCTCTCTCTCTCTCTCTCTCTCTCTCTCAGATATATATAAATGGGAAGAAGATGAAAATGAAAAACACAGACAAACCTGTTTAATTTTGGCACCACCATGGTTGAGTTTAGGAGATGGAAAACAAGGCAGAAGAGTAGTAGCAGATTGATTTACTCTCATGAAAACTCCATGAACACCCATTCTTCTTGATGGAATGAAGCTGCTGTATATTTCTCAGGAATTTCAATTTAAATTAAATTAAATTAAATGATGAGAGACAGAATATATATGTATATATAGAGATCAGCTTTTTTGTGTGTGAGTAAAAATGGGTAGAGAGAAGTTGACAACGAAGACAGAATTTATAATTAGCAACGAAGAGCGGCTTTTAATAAATTTTTTTAAATTTATGGAAAATTTTAATAAAAACAATTTACCCCATTTCCCATGAGAGATTGTCCATTTGTCCTTATTCTATACATGACCACAACGGATTGCTATTACTTATTTATTTATTTATTTATTTATTTATTTATTATTATTATTATTATTATTATTATTATTATTATTATTATTATTATTTGAAACTGTATCCTTGATTAAAATACTTTTGATTATTTGGACGGTTGTATGATTTATTAAATATTATAAAATTGGGCTATGCTTGATCCTAAAAGTATGCTTCATCCATATGCATGTGTGAAATCATTTTTTATTTTTATATTGCATATTGTTCAATAAATTATCCTTAGATTTCAATGATTGCTAAGACGGGCAACTACTGAGTCGGGTCTAACCGAAGCTCGATAGTGCAACCCCATTATATTTAAGTTGAGCATATTTTATAGTGGGTTGAGTCAAGTTTGAGTCATTTTACTAAACATAATTTATTTAGGAGACCAGTTTGAATCTACTATGGCTCAACTCAGATAAAGTCCGACTGATTAATTTAATAATTAAATATATAATATATTTATTAGTTTAATTGGCTGTTACAACCGAATAACATTATTTTATTTTGCCAAAAAAACAAAAAGGAATATTTAAAATAGGAATCTTATTTATCACTTGTTTTAATATAGTAATGAGACCCGATATAAACCCAAACTTGAAAAAAAAAAAAAAAAAAACGAGCCGAGCTTGAACCTATACTAATGAGACTCGATGGTATACGAGCTTAAGAGTATACCAACAAAGTCCGATAGTATGCAAGTTTGAGTCAACACAAACTCAGCTCACATGACCCGATTGTTAACCTAATAATTGCCAATCAATAACATACTATTTCAGTCAAGATCTGGTACCATTGTCTCTATTTATTTATTTTTTTTCTTTTTTTCTTTTTTTCTTTTTGTGTGTGTTTTGTCACTATGATAGAGGAATCATTTGAAATATTTTCATTTCAAATTCCAATTTGATGCCATGTACACACACACGGATCCAACCTACGAAAATTCTCCTTTGTCTCCAAATTATTTATATATATTTATATATATCCGCACATAGATATTTTTTGTAATTATAATTTTATCTAACAAAATTTTTGTTTATTTTTTTAATTTTTTTTTTAATCCAACAAATTTGATATATTCCATACTAGTGCTCAAGTCAAGACAAAAGGAATCAAAATGTTGAGAGAGGAAGAAACCCAAGGGATTTTGATTCTCTTCAACTCAGCATAGTGTATTGAAACATTATATTGGGGTAAAAATCTTGATCATTAATTTAAATTAAAATTATATATTTTGTTAATTATTTTAAACATCACCATGCACGACAAAAAAAAAAATTAATAAATAAAAATAAAAATTCTAACAAATATCCAACGTTAGAAGAACAAGATGAAGCCGGCAGTTAACTGAAGATTCTTAAAATTAACTAATGCTTTGCTAATTGTCTATATCACCTTAAAAATTTATAAATTACTACTTTTGCTAATTGTTTTTTAGTTGCTAATTGGCTTGTCTTGTAACAAAAGGGTATCTTCATTATCCGAGTGCATTATATCCTAACTTCTATTTTTGTTAAATCTCGATAAATTAGTACAATCGACACCAGCCAAATTCTATTAACTTTTCAGCAAAATATTAATGTCACGATACATTTTTTTAACATGTTGTCCTCAAGTTGGGACCGATAAAGTATATGATTTAAATGATATTATTAATTTATCAAGGTTTACTGTATTAATAAGTGGCGGCCATAAATTAGAAAGAAAACGGTGTTTGGGGAAGAGTTTATAATTCCCTTTTTAAGAATTTTTAGCCATAGGCAACGTAATAGTAAATATCTATGACATTTAACTAAAAAACACAAATTTAAATCTTTTATGTATAGCTATAGCTCAAAATATGATCATTTAAACCACTTAGGTGGTGCTTACAAAAGCTTATTTAAATTAATTAGAAGTTAGTGATTGTGAGTTAAATTGGAATTAAGTGCTTAAATTTATAAGCTAAGGGTGTTTGCAAATTAGCTGGAAAACCAACCAAAATAGCAAAATTAGGTACATAGTCATTTTTTAAATTATAGCATAAAGCAATTTATTTTAAGATAATCAAAAGTAAAAGTTTGTTTTGCAAGCACCTAAACAAATTATGTGCAAAATTAAGCTCATGATCTATTTCTAAAAGCATTTGCAAACACCACCTTAAAGATACTTACAATTTACTATTTAAATTGTATTAACTACTTATAAATCTGTATATCGCTTGTGTATTTTTAACTTGAAAAAAAATTTCCATGACCGAGTGGAATAAATTATATAAATTCGATGAATTAATAGGATCTCTATTCTAATAGTAGAGGTTATGTACCAACTCTCCTAACGAAAATTGGTTACGATTCATCTATTCAGATGATATGAAAATATAAAGTTTATACAAACACGTTGTACAACTTTTGTATGTGCAACATTACACATGTCTATCTATATATGGATAGGGATAGTCGGGAATACAAATTTACCGAAAAACACACAAAAAGCCATTTCCTCGTGGTTCATATATATAAGGTGGAGATTTATTCTTGGCTGGGGCTACCAATACTAGTTCTATTGAGTGTAAGACCAAAATAAAGAAAATTAATGTACAAATACTATAATACCCTTACTTGTTAAAAAAAATCAAACTAATGCAACGCCATAAACTAAAAAAAATCACAATAGCACTCATCATCTTCCATTAACCCACAAAACCTCAACATTCAAAATCCTCAAAACTTAACAAAACCTTACAAAGAGACAAATATGGAGTCAAAAGACATCAAAATGGAAGATTCTACTGTGGAAGAACTCACGGAGGTATGCATTTATGTGTTTTATTAGCTAGGCTATCGTTTTTGGAAAAAAAAATTGCGGAGGCGCGATTCAACATTTAAATGTCAAATTTTGCCCCCAAAATTCTACATCTTGATGTCAAATTTTGCCTCCGAAATTCAACATCTTGATGTCGAATTCAGGGAAACTCTTATTTCGATATCTAGGCGTCGAAGTTTTGGATCGATCTTGATTTTGTTGGTTAATAATGCTTTTAGCATTACCATAGATACATAGAGTGATATGGATAATAAAACTGAGTTCGTCCCAGAATACTATGTGGTGCCACCTAGGGGCGTAAATGAGTTGAGTCCGTTCATGATCACCGTGAACTGGCTTGTCAAAAGTTCGAGCGCGTGCTCAAGTTCAGTTTTAATTGTTTATGCGAGTTTTCTTAATTTTGATTTGATCTTCGGTTTTTGTTACATATAACAATAATAATAATAATAATAATAATAATAATAATAATAATAATAATAATAATAATAATAATAATAATAATAATAATAATAATAATAATAATAATAATAATAATAATAATAATAATAATAATAATAATAATAATAATAATAATAATAATAATAATAATAATAATAATAATAATAATAATAATAATAATAATAATAATAATAATAATAATAATAGTATAATATAAAAATAATAAACATATGTAAAAAAATTTTTTGAAAAAGATCAATTCATTTTTTTATATTATAACTTTGAAGTATAGTGTAAATAGTTTATAAAAACAAAAGTTGATACTATTAATATTTGAAAAAATATATACAAAAATAAACAAGATGAGCTTGAGCTCGAGTTCGACAAACTCACTAGAGCTCGAGCATAGAATATAAAAATTTGATGAGCTTGAGCTAATCAAAATTGAGCTCGTGCTCACTGAATTTGCCAAGCTCGGCTCTTTGACACACTCAAAATTTGTGAAGTTCGGCCTAATTTAAACGTTGTTTATTATATTGTATTATCGCCAGTAAAAACTATTTTCTCTAAAAAACCAAACAAAAATTTATTTTATTTTTCAAAATTTTCTTATTAAATATATTTTTCCAATAATTTTAGATATGATTTGATTGTTACATTATTTTGGTTTACTGTTAGAATATAAACAAACACTATTTTTATCCTCAAATTCTTCTCCTAAAATATCTTTCTCCCATATAAAATAAAAAAAAAATTGAGAAGAGATATCACCAATTTGTACACAACAGTATTAGACTAAAATATATTAAAAATGAATCCTCCTGGTAGGCGTTATATTATTAATCTACTACATAGTATAATTTGGTTTATTCATTGCTCTCATCCTGTAACGGTATATATGGTATATATTATATTATCGTACATCTACACACAATCGCATCGCACGTATACGAAAGACGCGTGTATGTGATTAAATATTATTTTTTAATGTCAGCATACTAAAATAAATCTAAATGTATAACAATTACCAAGTCTTGGATATTATATTATATATTATATTATTCGATTAGAAAAATAATAAATAATAAACGTTTTTATTTTATTTTTATTTTTTGTTTGGAGAAAAATAAATAATAAACGTGGTGGTTGAGAGATTGGGACATTGTGTCGGAGTGGGGTTGGTTGATAATGAATTATCGAAGCAAATAGCACATGAGCATTTGCATTTCATGTTTGCATCCTCGCCGTAGTCGTCGTCGTCGTTGTTGTTGCTGCTGCTGTTACTACTACTATATGTCGAGTAACTTTCGTATCACTTGCGAAGTTATTGAACGATATGATATTAATTCAAGTTGTATCTGGTATATATAAACAGTGTACTAGTCGTATCTTGTGGTTGGTTTTTCTATAGGATAAATAACAACCACCCCTGAGGTATATATGGTTAATTTAGGAAAAAATCTCTCTTGTTTGAATAATTATATCTACCCCTTAAGTATGATTTTTTCTTCCACCTGCACTTTTATGGTGTCAAATTCAACATAACCATCTAGATTTTGTGGAATGAGCTCTAGTTTGTACCCGTTTTGTGTAAAAATACAATTTATGATGATGCACCACAATCTGATATATATAAGTCAAAAAACACATATTATGATCATCTGGCTTCAAAATGTAGAGTTCGAATGGGATAAAATGGGTACAAAGTGATAATATTTCATACAATCTCGAACATTCCACTAAATTTGAAACCTCAAGGGTGGACGTGTAAGAAAATTTATAGTTGGGGGTGGTTGTAATTACCCAAACAGGAAGAGGATTTTCGTAATTTGACCATACATCAGGGGTGGTTGTAATTTACCCTTTCTTATATAGTTATTGTACCAAGAATTGCGGTATACTAATATTCCGTACACAATCGACTACTTTCGCTACGATATAACGTGATATTCTACCATTCATATTTTTTGAACTTGAATGCTATAATGCAAATGAAGAACTCATCTTCTTAAATAGTTGAACCTTTATATTATTTTCAAAATAAATAAAAAGTAATGGAATTGAAGTATTGGTAGTATTCAATTTTATTTGACATGTTGCTAACAAAAACTGTGTTGCAAAATTTGGGTTTGGGTCACCTCTCGAGCACTTATTGATTAATGTATCTTCTCTTATGGAAAATCATTTAATTTTCTTTTTTATAGTCGGCCTGTAATTGCACTATAAAGCTGTCACCATAACAATGGCTAATACATAATAATTGTGATCTCCTGTTTACCTATTTTGAACCGAAAATTGGATACGTGCCAAATATCGAATCAAAAATTCGTTTCGGTACTTGGTACGATATACGGTAATAATGCCCGACATATCGTACCGTACCGAATACCGAAATATTTAATATATATTTATTTTAAATCATTTTAAGGTTATAACATATAATAAAATACTTATAGATTGATAGTTTTTTTCCATTATTTACAAATTAACTTCTATTGATAATCATTTTTTTTTGTTTTTAGGGTCGATTATTGAAATTTTAATGTCAAATTCAAGAATTAATTAGTTTAAATATTTTTTTCCCTTCTTTAAAATAAGAAAATATATTTTCAATTTACCGGTGCCGAACCGAAAAAATCGAATAAATTCGGTAAAAATCGTACCGAACCGAATAGTTCGGTTCGAAAAAAGGTACGAATTTCGATTTACCGAATTTCCAGTACGGTTCGGTACGAATGAAAGCCCCTACATATTTTACTGTACCAGTCAAATCATTTTACTATAGCAGACAAATCATGTCTAGACGAGAGATCAACTTTTGTAATTGTTTTGGGAAGTTTTTTTGAAAAGCTTAACAAACACGAATTTGTTTCCGGAAGGAATAAAATTAAAATGAGATTGTAACCAAACATTCTCTCTCCTCTAGACAGGCAAGGTGCTTACCAACAAGTTACTTTGTTTTGTCAAATGTAGCAGAAATACAGAACATATAGTAGCAGAAATATTCAATCTAGCAGTTGTATTATAAACCTAAATCCTATAGATACAAAAAGAACTCAACAAACAAACAAACAGATTTATCAGATTTTCTGGCTTCTATTCTAAGATTCAACATTTCAGGAAAAAAAAAAGGAGATATAAGAATGAAAGAACAAACTGAAACTGTCAAAGTAGTAATGTACAAGTTCTCGTATTTCCAGACAGCATTACCTGGCCGTGTCTCGATTCGGTGTTAAGAGTTATACAAGTTAGTACTTGACCATATGATGGCGAAGCCATAGCTCATACATTATCATATGGAACGCATCGTGGCTTACGGGAGGTGTGTTCCACTGGAAGTGCTTCTGGACCTGACCACAGAGGAACATAAATATAATTTACATAATAAAACGTCAAAAAATTTAATATTTTTGTATAGACATCTGTACATCTTGATAGCATTGTTCGGCCCCCCTTGAGAAGTTTTGTTGTACATTTTGCCCCCGAAAAGACAATAGACTTGAAACTGAAGGTTATCTATTGTATTGATGTAGTAATGGGTAGATTTGTACCTTGACCAAATTGTTGTGCAATGTGACAAATTCGTCTTGAGTTATGTTCTTCAGAATTTGCTTCAGTTGATAGACATCTTTCTCTTTTAGTACTACTGCGAATTTATGCCAATCCAATATGTCGTTGAAAGGCAAGTCGTAGTAATTAGAGAGTATCACTGCACACAACCACCAAAAGTTAGTGAACCAAAACTGTAGAGAAAAATGCATATTTATGAATGTGTACATGTCATACATGAGAAGTATCATATGATGATTTTCTTGAACTAAATACAGTTGCTGAATGACAAAAAAGAAAAAAAGAAAAAAAAGAAAAAGAAAAATATAGTCCAAGACATAAAAAAAAGATTATGCCTTTCGCCATATGGCACGAAGTTGGGAAGAGAAAAAACTGAAAGGAAGAGTTCAATTTCTTGTAAGCAAATGTTCTACGAAAGAGTTGCTTAAAATATGCACAGCCTGAAGACATAAACCACAAGTACTACAGCCACTTCAAATGTTCGGAAATCACAGTGAAACACTTGGCTCAACATTGTCATATAGAAAGCATAAATACGAGAAAAACTAAGATCATCTAACAAAAGCAAACGAATCATTTGGAACTAAAATTGACTGCATACTCATGATTTGCTATATCTATTATTTGTACTATTCGTTCATTAATTCAGATTCCGGTTATGTTATAATGCTACATAGTTGAAGTATAACCCACTGACTGTTTCACGAATCTTCGGATTCACATCTCATTATCAATTATCCAACTTTCGATCAGGACACAACATTACATTAGCACAAGTTAGGATACATATAAGAATTAGAATAATCCTAATATATATTCAAAATTATTTTCAAAATTATGAGAGGATATTAGGTCTCACCGGGTATACATCCGTAATGTATAGAGTCGGCTATGCGAGCACTATTGACCTGAGAGCCACCGGGGCAAATGCAGAATTTTGTTCTGTAAAACCTCTTTTGATACACCAGAGGTCCAATTGCTCTATTAATTCTGTTGTTTGAAATGTCAAGTTCCGTATCATTTTCCCATACTTGCGCTAATATGACCCTAATCTTGGAATTCCTATGCCCTGCCCAGAATCCGAGTGTCGTCCTGCAATAAAATATTCATTCACTTGGCAGAAAATAAGAACGATGATGCTCATGTGACCCTCTAGGAGAAATAAGAATGATATTATATAGGGAGAGTTAATTATAAATATCTGGACCATATGAATAATGAGAAAAACATCGATATGCTACTCGGGTGCACAAAACAGAGCAAGCTGAGGTTTGTCTAAAACTAGGATTAGTTACACTTAACTCATAAATGGAATAGTTAAATACCAACATCTCCCTCCTCTTTCATAATTACATAATCCTCATCTCTAAATTTACTATCTCTAGAAAACTTATGCCTACGAGTAGGGTTTTGGATGGAAAATGATGGTATCAACAAGTGAACTTATTTGCTCTTGAACCAACTGCCTTGCTATTTTTCAGGACAAAATATCCTTTATAACTTTTGAAACTTATAAAAGGATAAAGGTTATAATAATATACACAAATGGAGAAGAATGTAATAGTGATCGTTCCAGAACTATATGTATTTGATGGAAAATACTAGTTCTATGAGGTCAAAAAACTAGCTGATTGTGGCTATTTTGTTCAACATTTTCATTTGTCAAAGAAAAACGACTAGTTGAAATATTTATTCTTGTGTTGTAAGAATGAACCATTAAAAAAGATAAATGACTTTGAAAAACAATTAGACTGTAGAAATATCAAATAGTTATTTTCTCCCTAATTACAGGTCTGCATATGATTTATTTATTTACAGAGTGCTCAATTATTCTTATTCAGGTCCGTTCAGCTTCTTAATGGACTAGAGCACACATTGTTGTTGTAAGATCTTAGCTATGTAATATGCCCAGCAAAATCTCAAATTATTTTGTGAATTGTCGAAGCTTAACCGTACAGAGGGTATTTGAGGTTAGTTTTCACTAGCATAGGTATAAGCTAGACCAAACTGACAAGTAAAAAGATCCATTTTGATCCAGAAAGCAGTTTTAGAATTCTTAAAAGAATATCTTTGAACTATTCCAAAGTCCAATTGCAGAATACATCAATGTAATGATGAATACTAGAAAACACCATGAAACCCAATCTCCCACCAAGTAAATGTTAATTTTCTAACTCAGTTCATAGGCTGGATACCAAGATCTTTTCTAGTACAGTCTAAGCCTAGGCACTTATTCTGGACTTCTTAAGTATTAGAAAGAAAAGATAATAATTAAGCCTTGCCTCTTTTGTTACTGGTTATTTGATGGGGTCCCAAGAAATGAGTAGTTTTCATTGTTTCATGTTCGAAAGGGCTACTAATTGTTTTCTTTCTATGTTCTAAGTATTTAGAATTGAGAGAGGTTTCAATGCCTAATTAGCACATTCTGAAGCAGAAGCAAAACAGTATTTCAGACAAGATTACCATGCTGATATTTCAGCTAAACATCAATGAAGAAAATAAAAGGACGACATCAAAAAGATATCTAAATCGTGAAGAGTCGAGGATTAAAAGGTTTATTAAATGTTGCAAATATAGTACCTATTTTCAATATCATTTCCTCCAGCTGGAAGGGCAAATGGCTGAAGAACTTGTGGGAGTGCAACATCTTTGTGTGGTATAAAGCCAACATCATAGCTGGGAGAGCAGACAACACGAATTGCATTCTTTACAAGATTTGGAAGTCCTTCAGTTGCCCTAACACCAACATCATGGCAAGTAACAAAGAAGTGATCTGTTCCCAGAGTTCTATTCCAATAGGGATACTTGGATATCAAGCTCTCCACATAGTCCTGGACAATTTTAGTCATGTTCTCATACGATATACCCTGCAAGTTATATTAAGAAGATCATATATTAGGATCCGAAGGCTCGAACTTCGGTAGGACATAAAACCATAGAACCATATTGCAGGACAACATCGAGACTTTTATCAAGACAACGAAAGAATAGGAGAAAAGAATTTCAAAGAAGCAATGACCTAATAACTCTCGTTAAATGGCAGGTATTTTAACATAAATTTCCAAGAAATGGCTTAACATGTGTGTTCTTCAGGAGTTAAGGATGGCAACAGAGCAGATGAATAGTGTTATGTCAAAGAGGAGAACAAATTGGTGAAGGTGAACAGAGCGTAAAGCATTTTATTATATGCAAGTAAACACATACAGGAGTTCATGTAAATGGGAAAAAAATAGAACTAAGGTAGTGTAGTTGGCAGGAATGGGAATTGAGGAAAAGTGGAAATTAGAACTCAGTATAACTGACAATGGACAACCAGTGCTAAACTAGATAGTAACTCAGTATACGAAATGCACTATTGAATGCCATATATATATCGCGAATAAGAGCATTAGGCATTCTCAGGAGTGAGGGACATATAGTCGTAATTTTTTATAAGTTAAAACAGGAAAGACGACATAACAGAAACACTGGTGGTTAATTAATTCGCGTAAAAGAGAAAATGACTTGACCTGCCCCTCCTAACTCGTCTAGCAAAATAAATTATTCTGTGTTTATAATGTGGATCACACCGTAAAATGTTCCCTGATATACTTCGGAGCCAAGAATTCAGATTTGCATCCTCATTTACTAAGCTATTACTTCTCCATACATTCATTCACCTTCAATTAATAACAAGATAACTGTGTTGTTTCTAGGAGAGATATATTTCAACACCAAACACATTACGAAATTTCAACGTCTCAATCAGCGAAATGATTCCTACACAACAACCCTAGAAAAATGAATTTCAATGAACTCAAGAAGAAGCCACCAAAAACACTGGCGATCAAGAAACCACTAAAAAATCCCCATTATGTTCAAATTCGTCGAACACAGTACACAAAACCAGACACAAAATTCAAATTCACAAATCATCGAAATGAAATCATAATTTCAATCGAAATTTAACAACAATCGGCAGCATACCTTGCCTCGCATCTTATGACAAGAGATCGGAATGAAGAACAAATCCGCCCGATCTGGATCATCCGTCACGAAATTACTCTCCCTGAGATTCTGAAAAAAGTAACCCTCGCTCGCGTATTTTCCGGTCAGCTTCCGCGGAGTCTGGTAATAGGTATTCGGATCCCCATCCGAGTAAACGTACACCTTAAATCTACTCCGCATCCTCTCGTAATTCAACCTGAAAACCTCCGGAAAATGGTAAACGTCGTCGTATCCATAATTTTCCGACGCGGCCACTTTCTCGACATTATCCACGTCGCCGTCGTCAACAGCCTACAAGAATTCCAACAAGATTGAAGTAATAAAATTAGTAAAATTCAAGCAGGTAATCGTGGATGGAGGAGTAGATTGGAGTAGTACCTTGGGCAGCGAAGGATGTACGGTGAGGGGGGTAGGGCTGGTGGAGGGGGAATACTGGAGAGAAGGGGAGTGGAGGGATTTAAGGGAGAGAAAAGTGAAGGAGACGAGTGTTATGATGGCGAGTGTGAGGAGGGAGCTTCGGAGAGTGAGTGCGGCGGAGGGCGGTGGCTGAGGGAGTTTCGCCGCCAACATTCCCGCGGCGGAGTGGTGGTCGCCTGAGTAACCCTTGCCGGTGTGTGGTGGTGGCGGAAGAGTCGAATTGATCTCGGAGTTTAATTATTTTGCGTTGTTCGGTTACTGTATTTTTTGCTCCTATCTCATTTCTAAAAAAAATTCAGTTATAATAATCACAAATACGTTAAAAGAAATATTATTTATAATATTGATGAATAAGAAATGTTGAAATTATTTAAAATTGTATTGAATTTCAAAAATTGTACTTGTTTTTAATATAATAATCATGTGAATATAATTTTTACAAACTAACCGAATCGAATACGAGTCGAACATAAATCGAGCTCTAAGTGTTATATTTATATTTACTAATTTTTAAATATGGTTTTCCTCAATTACTTTGAAGGAAGAATGTGAATATATATATATATATATATATCAGGGGATATAATAATTTCGATTTTGTAGAACTTACACCTGCTGAAATACACTATGTGATTTTACAGTATTTTTTTTTCTTTGATGAAACACAAATGTATAAATCAGGCAAAAGTCGCTAAATCCGAAGGAATAACAGTTCCGTCATTACAAGCAAGAGAATTAGAAGACGTCAAAGAGTGAGCTAACCGATTGCCAGTACACTTAACAAATTGAAATTCTAAATGAGAGAAAAATTGAATCAAACCAACAATACTATCAAGAATAGCACCATAACTAATTGATCTATGCATAATAATACATACATTTTTTATATGTACGTGTGCTTAGTTATTTATGTAAATGAACAATTTAAAATCACACGATGTATTTGACCAGATATAAGATCCGGTAAGCCAATAATACCTACAGCGTTGAGGCATTAGTTTGACAAATAAAACGTCTATCCAAAAAAAAAATACAAGTAATTCAATTTTTTTTATTAGAGCTACTTGCAAAGGTAACTTTTTATTAGAGTTTTAATTTTTTTTTACTACAACATTTAATAATTCAATTAACTAATATATCATTATTTTTATCTTATATTTATAATCTCTTATAACTTTGTCCATAGGAGTTGTTGTATGCTAAACAAATTCATCATATAATTTTTTTTTCCTCCTAAAATTAATAACACGAAGAGTATTTTAACAATTCGATATAACACATGGGTACTAAATGCAGATGGACTTAGATCTACATCTCCAAAATTGCAACTAACTCAATAAACTATAAACGATACAACAACAAAAAATGAACGAAATCGAAAAAAACGGTTTTATTTGTTCCGATTCTGCAACATATACATGAAAATTCCACCAGCTACGGAAACATTCAAAGACTCGAAATCACCAGCCATTGGAATACTCACAAGCTCACAAGCCCGCATACTATCTTCAGAAAGCCCGCCTCCTTCGCTGCCCAAAATCAGACACAGGGGCGAATTTGCTACAGAATCGGCAAATTCTTTCGAAAGCCCGGTAACTAATTCATTTGATGGATGGCCCGCAAACATTTTCATTCGAAATTCTTGTCTGAGAATATTTATTTGTTGCCAATTACCAGAAACTATTGGAATCTGAAAAGATGCCCCTCGAGAAGCACGCAGTGCTTTGTCGTTGAATGGATCGCAACATCCAGGAAGAAGATAAACTCCGTCCTGCTCAATCCGTAAATATTAATAAATAAAAATATTTAAATAAACGATTTATTTCTGTGCATGACAAATATTAAATTGATAATTTAAGAAAATATTAAAACGATTTTACGTAACAATTCTTACCCATCTAAAAGCCGTAGCAGATCGAACGAGTGTGCCTAGATTGCCAGGATCCTGCCATAAAAAGTTATTACCTGAGTTCAACTGTCAAATCAAACACCACTAATGAATATTGTCGTCTAAGCAAATTCGGAGTCAGATAATTTAATTTCCATCGAGTTAAGATGAAACCGAGTATTTTTCCCGCAGCATATTTCCATTTTTTTTTTCATAAGTCTAACTAAATGGCAATGGTAAACATTGGATAATCCCATAGCTTTCTATAACTAGGGATATGGGTGGAAATTAGACGGATCGGATCGGAATTAGGACTTCTAGAAAGGAAAAAAAAAGTCCAATTTTTTTTCGGAAGTAAAAAACTAATTCAGATTGCATTAAAAAAACAAAAAGAAAAGATCGGAAATCGGAATTTCGGTAATTGGAATGATAAACTTGTTCCAAAATCGGAAATATTCGAATCGAAATCGGTGGAATTCGGAATTCGGAATTCTCATAATTTCAATAACCTATAAAAATAATTACACAATAACAATGATATTATAAGTGTAATTTTCAGAAAAAAATCGGAAAATCGGAAATCGGAATTTCGGTAATTGGAATGAAAAACTTGTTCCAAAATCGGAAATATTCGAATCGGAATCGGCGGAATTCGGAATTCTCATAATTTCAATTACCTATAAAAAAAATACACAATAACAATGATTTTTCATAAGTGTAATTTTCAAAAAGAAAATCGGAAAAATCGGAAATCATAATGAAAAATATTGTTCCACAAACAGAAATATTAGGATCGAAATCGACGGACTTACGAAATTCATTTCTAATTTCCACACCAAAAATAAAAATATGAAGCTTATATATATACCTGGATTCCATCAAGAACTAGAATTCGATGAGGTAACGAAAACAATCCACCGAAACCTTTATCGGTGGCAATGTGAAACGTCGAAGGAATTCTGACCAAGGCAATGACTTCAACAGAATCAACAGATTGTACACCAGAAAGTTTCTTTATCACCTCCAAATTAACGTGAATGACACGAACATCATTGTCATCTATTTCTTCAGGGATAAAATAGTTGTCGAGCACAAACAAGCACTCGATTATAGGCCTATCCGACACTGCTTTATGAAAGCTGCATATTTCCCTGCAACATGTAATAGTTCAGCCGATGTTCCCAAATAAATACCGTATACGAAAAAGAACTATATTAATGTATTCATTATAATACCGTAATTTGTAAAAAATATCTAACTTACGATGGATCTACAAGGTTCTCGCCAAAAGATTTACGGCAGAGCGAACCAACCGAAACGTAATCCAAGTCAAAATTCAACGAATACTAATAATGTCAATAATCAATTATTAGAAGATACAATCATCTGAAAAGTGTTTGTACTGGATTCATTCAAAGCCCAACTCCAACAAAATATTCAAATCTTTCAATGAAAAGCACAGAAAATAGAAAGCTCTTTTAGTTGAAGCCTTTTAACAAACACATGGTGTGCATCATTCATTAATACAGCACAAACCAAAGCATGTACACCGTTACCTCCACAAAGTAATACAGCATCACACTGATAAACCCAAAACAAAAAGAAAGCAAAAAAAAAAAAAAAGTTAGAGGTTTTACCTTATCGGAGTGGCGCCAACTACAAGAACATAGCCATAAAAATGGCGGTAAGAGGAGCTCTGGCGAATCTTGACGCAGTGTTTCACAAATGGGTTTGAAGTGCTGGTAATGGTTGTAGCATTTGGAGGTAAAGTAATCGTCTTCTTCGACGCAATCTTACTGCCATTGTCGTTGTGAGCTTTTGGGGTAAGATGAACTCTGTGGGTTCTTCTGCTGCCGGGATGGAAATTCGAAGACTTCTTGTTGGCCGGCGAATATGGTGGACTAGTGAGAGTAAATGGAGTTGATGAAATGAAGAATTTGTTCAGAGATTTCATTCTTGTATGTATTAATATTTGCTATGGTTTCTCTCTCTTCTTGGGCAAGTTTTTATAGGTTCGTTTCTTTTCGGCCAATTTTGCAATAAAACACCACAAGGTGTTTGCTTAAATGCCTCAACTAAAGAGGAATAGTTACGCATATGGTTCAATTTTTATTTTTTATTTTTTGAATTTTTTTTATCGAACTTTTAAAATTTGTTTATGATCTCGAATGAGTTTAAATAGAACCGAACTCAATTTGATAAGTAATTTTATTGAGCTTAAATGAGTTTTAAGTCGGGCCGAACACGAACTGAGTTCGAGTGACTTGATTTTTTTTAATATATTTTATCAAAAAATAAATAAAGATCGGATCGAAATCGAGCCAATCTTCGAGCTTATTGAACGTGTATGTTCAAGTTTGGTGACTTATACAGTTACACTAATAAACAAAGCTCAAATCAATGTCGAAAAATTTAGTTTGATTATCACCTCTTTTGGAACATGAGGTATTTTATATTGTTGTGTCTATCTTCCCTTTCTCACTTTATTAGTATGTCATTATTGTTTAAATTCCACTGTAAACGAGTTGAGTTTGGCTATTTGGGCGAGCTCGAGTTCTTTGAATTCGAATCAATTTTGACGAGCTCGAGCTTTTTAAGTATTTGTTTTTTGATTCAAGCTTGGGCAAGCCGAAACTGTCGACCTCGAGCTCTAGCATTTCGTGTCTAAAAAAATATAATTAGAATTTTATTATTATAAGTTATAATTGAAAAAAATTAAAATAAAAAATGACATGTAATTTATTTATTTTGTTACTTTTATGAATTTATATTTATTTTATATTAATTATATAGAAAATAAAAATACAAACTGAAAAAAAAAACACCGCACGAACAACTAAGAATGAGCTGGGGCTCGACTCATCAGAAAGCTCAAAAAATTCGAGTTCGAATTCGAGCTTTCGTCAAGTCCGTTCAGCTCATTTATACTCTCAAATTTCCCAAGACAGATTTCTTTCAAACTGTAACATGACTAAAAAAAAAGGTAAAAACACGAAAGTATAAAATAAGAAAACTATAAAAAAAGTGTCGTTTAAAGTAATTGCACAAAAACTAAGAAACTTAATAAAGAACCAATTTTCAAATAAAAAAGTCCCAGGTTGCACTTTACAAATCTTGAGGAAAGATAATTAGTGAGCTTGAACAACAAACAAAATAAGGGAAAAAATCGTAAAAAAAGAAATAAAATTTTACCTTAAAATTCTAAAATGGCGCTTAATATAGGAAAAAAAGAAAAAGAAAGATAGGGCTAATTTTGAAATGGAAGGAGTACAATAACAAAAGTTAATTGCGCTACCGCCCCTTACACTTTAGTTAATTGTAGTTATACCCACTGCTCAACATTTTCCCATAGCTAGTCAGTCCCAAAAAAGGCAGTAACGGTCATATAATTTGAACGGACAAGTGAATGCAAATTCAAACCCCCAAAACGCCCAAAAATTCAAACACAAAAAACGCACTCTTGCTGCAGAGAAAGTACACTGTACACCCCCCCAATTCTCTTTCAAATTCCCAAAACCTAGTCGCCAAATTCCGATGGAGAACTCGTTTGAGCAGTACCCAGAGATTCAAATCCCGGATCCGTGTGTTTCCTGCCGCGATTTTAATTGGGAAAATACGAAAAATTCGAATCCAGAAATCGAAGCTTCTGCTATGGAAGAAGATGAGAATGGAGAGTCTTTAGCTGATTTAATGGTCTGCGATTCTGGTTCGAGACTTGTGCCGAGTGGGTTTATCAATCCTCCTTGTTCAGGTTTGTGAACTCAAGATTAGGTTTTCATTTGGGGGTTTTATGCTCTGGGGAATGAGGAAATTTACGCATTTGTTAACCCTAAGTGATATTTATAAATTATTGATTTAGTCAATGTTGCTGAAAATTAGTTGGGGAAAATGTCAGAATTTGAGTAATTAAGTTCAATTTTGGGGGTTATTGTTTTTTTTAAGAAATAGTTGTATAAATCAAGATGGATAATTTCTTACAACATTTGAAGGAACTTGCTATAAAAATTCCGTGTTTTTCGATTTTGAAAATTAGGCACATGTTAAAAAAAATGTGAAAATCGGCTTTTCATCCTCAAATACTCTTGAACTTGTAACAAAATGTGCTGTATTGTTATACTCGGTTTATTTTTCTGATTACCTATTTCTTTGTTCAAATCAGATGAAATTGTGCTTTTCGTCATGCTGGTGCAAATACGTCAAAAGAATTAGATTCTGGTAATAAAAATCCTCGAA